CTTAGGAGCGTTCACAATGGCAAAGAAGTCAACTTCATGTTTTAATATTTATTTATATGAAAGGTACAGTGGTGGGGAGGGAGAGACAGAAAGAGGGAGATCTTGCATCCTCTGGCTCACTCCCCAAGTATTCCCCAAGTAGTCACAATAGCCTGGGCAGGGTCAGGAGGAAGCCAGGAACCAGCACTCCATCTAGATCTTCCATGTGGTAATAGAGAACAGGTCCTTTGGCCATTGTCTGCTGCCTTTACAAGCACATTGGCAGAAAGCTGGACCAGAAGTGAAGTCCTTGGAACCATGCACCCATGGAGACTTGGAAGAAGCCCTGGGCTCCTGGCTTCAGATTGGCTCCGTTCCAGCTGGTACAGTCATATGGCGAGTGAGCCAGTGGATGGCAGACTTCTGTATGTGTCTCTCCTTCACTCTGTAAGTCTGTCTTTGAAAGAAAAATTGAACGAATCTTAGAAGAAGGATGAGGATACAAATAAGAAGGAAAAGGAGGAGAAGGAGAGGAGAAATGAAGGAGCCGAGTCGGCACTAATGTGGATGTGGGTATCCCAAGTGATGGGATAGCCACTATGCCACAACACTTGCTTCATGAACTTTAATTTTCAAAGATGTTTAATTTTCTTGAAAATATGTGATTTATTCTATCATATGAAAAGATTATACTAAGGTCATTTTTGAAAAATGCACATGTTGATATTACTTTGGTTTGATTCATTCAATGTCTATTGAACACCTAAAATGGTTCCTTCAATAAACTTGTAGCTCAACAGGGAGAAAAGTATGTCCCACCACATACGTGGGAATCACATATTTTCTTGTTAAAGCTGAGTTTGAAGATAAAATTCAACAGTATCCCTGCAGGATTAACACGGGGGATTTTGTGAAGACACTGAAGTCCCTGCTACTGCAAGGGACCACTAAGCACTATTCATTTTAGATTGCCCTCCCTTTTGTTAGCATTCCCTAATCTATGTTCCCTAATGTGTTGGTGCAGATTTTCTTCCTTACACACCCAAAGGCTTTGTGGTTGTGTTCTTTCTGAAAAGTGACTTCTGTAGCTGCTTTTGATTAGTAATCCTGGGCACAGAAACAGCAAGAGACAAATTTAGTGCATCCCATGTATCTGACATACCGTTCTCCCTTCCTGTACACTGTCAAGCAACTCTGGCTCTCTGTAGAAGACTGGCTACACTCTCCCATTTTCTTTTTAGTAATTTTTCAATTTGTAAATAGAACAAATTAAATTGTAACTTTTAAAAAATGTTTTTTAATTTAATTTTAAACTCAGAGTTACAGAGAGAGAGAAAGGTAGAGCAATAAAGAGAGAGGAAGAGAACGAGAGAGAGAGAGACAGAGAGAGACAGATCAAGCAAAAATCTTTCATCCATTAGTTCACTATCCAGGTGGCCACAAAGGCCAGGGCTGGACCAAGCAGAATGCAGGAGCCTGAACTTCATCTGGTCCTCCCATGTGAGTGGCAGGGGTCCAAACTCTGTGGTCACATTCTACTGCTTTCCCAGGTGTGTTATCAGAGATCTGGATTAGCAATTGAGGTGTTGAGACACAAACCTGTGCCCACATGGGATGCCAGTGTCACAGGTGATGGCATTACCTGCTATGTCACAATGCTGGCCCCTACATTTTAACTTAGTCCCCACAGTAAAGACTGCTTTGTCCCCAATAATTAGGATCTCTCGTATAGCAAGCAGCTGTGGTCATCGAGAGAACACAAACTCCACAAGTGACAGTGAGAGTGGTCAGGCTGAAAGTGATGGTGAGAGGGACCAAACTTATTCCCAGTTCGTGAACGCTGGACACTTACATAATAGGGCCAACAGATGAGGAACTATATGGGGGCTGGCATAGTGGCATAGTAGGAATGCTGTCTGAATGCTTCCATCCCATGTGAGTGCCAGTCCAGCTCCCTGTAAATGACCTAGAAAAAACATCAGAAGATGGCCCAAGTGCTTCGGCCCTGACACCCATTTGGAAGACCCAGAGGAGGCTTCTGGCCCCTGGCTTGCGATCTTTCAGCAAGTGAACCCAGCAGATAGAAGATTCTGCATGTGTCTCTCTTTTGCTTTCTCTTCCCCTCCCTCTGTAACTCTGAAATAAATAAATACTTTAAAAGAAAGAGGGAATAACGAGGAAAGGCTACCACAATGTAGACTTCACTTGAGAAATAAACATACTGAGGATAATTAAAATAAAAGCAAACCTTCCAGTCACTGCAAGTACTTCTTTACCATGAACCAGTTTTCTTTCCAACCAAAGGAAATTACAGGTGTACCACTCAACATTTTGCCTACTTTGCCAGTGCGCCCACTCTATATCTTTAAACGTACCTGTGAATGGGTTTGCAGTTCTATAGGATTTCATCTACAATTAGAATATTTTTATATACTTATCTCTGACCCAATCCCAAGTTTCTCTCTCTTCTATAAGTTGATTTTAGGAAACCAACCAAGAAAATGTTATGTGAGTTTAGAAAATGATAAAAGCAGGTGCGGTTTGAATTAGGAATTCCATTTCAGTAAATTTACATGTACTTTCTGGGTCACTAGACTCAACTGCTTGCTGCTTTGTCATCCAGTGCTATAATTTCATGGGTCTAATACTAACATTTCATGGAGCTAATATGGGAAGCTCAGGTTAACAGCAATTTACTTGCTGCAATGGAGCCTGACAGTCCTCTCTAAATAATCAGATAGGAAATAACTAAGCCGGTTCTCAAACAACAGGGAGTCACCTACTGCATACAGCCTCACTTTCCTTAAGATCATCTGAACTATAAGCTATAAATCTCTTACAGGAGCTTGCCAAAGGCCCGCACAATTTTACCCACCGTGGAAAAAAAGTGTATTCTAATTGCTACACATTGCTGTACGACAAAATATGCCTGCAAACACAATGGCTACAATCACGGTTTATCCTACGCGAATGTAAGTTACTTTAAATCAATCATCTCTACTTCCAAGAAGTCCACTGGGTGTCTCAAGTCTATGGAAGCAATGATCAGTGCCTCCACATTTACCCATCCTCATCCAGTCATGAGACGCTCTTGTCAGCTACGTAGCATGCCATGTGCCACAAGCTTAGCTATGTGGACGGAGAGGAAGCTCTATCTTTTCCCTATTTATGTTTTGAATCCTACCCAACAGGTTGAATGTCTATTCTTTCTGTGAGGATTTTAATTCTGCAAAACAACTACTGAATACAGCTTTTGTAGTAGCACCAACATACCTTTCTATTCATCCCACACAGCTGTAGTCACTGATAGGCAGAACCACCCAAGGATAATTCATTCCAATTAACAGTGTTAACAATTGCTCCTATAAGGAGCTACTGATATCCATCAGTAGAGAGACTCAATTTCTCAACCATGTACCCTGCATTTCCATGTTCTGTTCTGCAACATTTCCCAGGTGTACCCTACTTTGGGTAATTACAAATCAAATGAAAATAGCTTTTCTTCCTCATATTGTATCTGCCCAAATTCCTGCACAGAACGCAAAAATCTCAGTTGTCTTCAAATTAATTTTTCCTTCTAATTTTGCTGAAGTGATTAACAGCTACTAAAGCACTCACAAAACACTTTGCTCCTTTGCTGTTGACCTACATATCCCTTATAACCCGCTTTGTATTTCCCTTGGCTCAGTATTTATCATCTCTAAACATCAATGCAGAGCACAAAATGCCACTTCAAGCCAAGAGTAATTTGTTAATCATTTCAACCACAAACAGGTCATTTTAACCTCTTCTCTCATTTCCTTCTTCTTTCTCCGAATAGTATTTGTCACTTGTGTTTCGTGTGAATTATTGTTACAACAGTTTCATTAATGGCATGAACAGCACTAATTTATGGCCATGGTAGGTCTTTTACAGCAGGTTGTTTTGTACGCACAGCCAAAACATGCAATGAGCCTTAAGCATGGAAATTCCTTAGTTACCAGGGAAGTCGACAGCAAGTCTTAAAACCGAAAATATATAGAGTGTATGTTACATTACCGAGCAGCACTGACTTGCAATTACCATTTATCTCCAAACAACTTACAGACTCGTGGTTGCAAAACACCACTTATCTCAATGAGCACACTGGGTTGCTTTAATCAAGGGTCATCACCACGCTTCTGGCAGCTCTGGAGCACACAATCACGAGTCCAGTTTGAGGCTAACCCATGAGGTGCACTAGGAATCAATGCATGCTTTTTGTGAGGGGCTGAAGAGTGGATATTTTCTCTTTGAAGGTCTCCACTGCAAATATTAAATTATGTTGCTGTATCATAGCCATTAATGAAGTGTAAAAGAATGCAAATGGCTCTTTCAGTAATACTCTATTTACAACTTAGTGGACCACATTTGGCTCAGAGCTGATAGCAGGCCAAACCTTTCTCTACCACCAGTGTAGGTCATTGCCTCCAAATCGCCACCAACAATCATCTTACTAGTGCAATGTTACCATATGGCGGCAACTGTGACCACACTGTAGTTTACCACCTCTCCATTTACCAGCAATAATGTCATTGTGACAGCTCCTGACTGTAAATCACATCCAGAGAACTAGCATTTAAGGACCATTTCTACACCCACTATCTGAGTTCGAGTTCTCTAAAATCAGGGGTTAGGATACGGGCATGGGTGAGGATACAAGCATTTTATTCTGGATATGACCCCTCAACACAGAATTAAAGCAATAAGAAAAGTGAAACAAGCCAAAGAAGGAGAAAATTTAACAGATCACTTCCGAATTCTTTAATTTTGGCACTGAGGGCCTCAAGAGAAGGATGCAAAAATATTTCCTAGAATAGTCACTCGGTGGTCCAAAGGATGGGAGGATACAGTCCTCACATACTGGCACCTGATCCTTATTCACAGAATATAAGCCATCCTGAAATTCTGGACTGAGCATGTGCACTGGGCTGGCAGCACCTTGCAGGTTCCTACAGGGAGGGAGACAATCCCAGAGCAGCAAGGGAAGATGCCCTGGAAGAGTGGGATGCTCTCAGCACAGGTGATTCTAAGGTTGTATTGCACCTTAATCAGGGTATTCATAGTTACTCTGAAAGCAGGTATGGGCCAAGGCAAGTTGCTCACGGTGTCAGAGGGGCCCTTAAAATGTGGAAGATCACATACAGGGAAACATACTTGCAGGCTTAAACAACTAACACGTGGATCAACATAAGTTTCAGAGTACCAAGAGGGGGCGGCTACTGAAACAAATGGAGAGGGAAAACTGGACAGGGAGTGTAAAACCAAACACAGTTACTCAAGGCTTTGGTTGTCTCTTTTTGCAAGCCACAGCTGTCCTACACTCAGTGGTGTGAGCTAAAGGTTTAAGCCACAATAAGACAAGCAGGTCCCCCCTGTGAATTCCAAATGAGGTGTGCCCTTGTCTCCTCTCAGTGGTGTCAAAGTAGCTGATACCCAGTGGATTCTCACCATTCGGAGCACTCTGTTATCCAGTTCCAAGCTCAATGCATGCAGGCAGCCTTTCTCCTGTCTTGTCTGGAATCAGGCAACTCTTGGTTAGAAACTCAAATCCCATGACTGTTGGTGTGTTTTCAACTCTACTCCCCTAGAGCCTGAGGATCAAAATGAGAAGGGAGGCAATGAGGAAAGTTCAAAACACATAAAACAAAAAGAATTCAAGAAACTTCTGCTAGAATTTTGACATTCAAGCCCAAGAAACAGACAAACCAATAAAGCATCATGAAGAGCAAGACACTTAATGTAACAGAATGTTTGAGAATAAAGCATAAATACTCATAATAAAATACAATGTGAAAAGTAACCAAATTATTATACAAATGGTTGTATCATTTGATTTTAAAATAATTTAGGTTTTCCTGATTTTTAAAATTAAGAATATGAAAACAATTTTACACTACAAACTGTAAAAAAAGCAAAATGTGCAAATAAGTATAGAATTGTTACTGACTGTTGACTAGTAAGTCAGTGTATGTTCTTGTCGCTATAGGCTGACCTTGTTGAGGGCTACTGGGCATGCTATAATGAAGTGGCAAATAGGCTGTTTGCAGCAATGTTTGCCTACAGACACTTTACTGTAAAGTCTTTACTTGTGGATTCCCAGATTCACATGTTCTCAGAACTGAAAAAACTCAGCTAGCCCATTCTGGTCACAGCCACAAGTCGTGGGTAAAGGGCATGAAAGGGTCCAGTGACAGTGCCAGGCATGTTGAAGCATTTGCTGAGTTCAGCAGCATCTGGGCAGGGCACTACCGGAGCATGAAGAATTGTCACTCTGAATAATGATGGGAAAACTCGGGAACTCTTCCAAATACAGAAACAGATGCAACAAAAACTCTTTCACAGCATAGGAATGCAATGAGCAGTGGCTAACGTCTTGTGGTTCCTTCTAAGAGGATCATAAAATAGAATGTCTGTGCAATCTGGTCTTAAGATGATTTCAAGCTGTTTCAGAACATGTTTGGACACGTTTTGGACACCCTCACAAAGCAGGTATCATTCTCCAAGTCAGTGCATCAGCCACTGGAGCACAAAGCCTGCCGGTTTTAGGAAACAAGCACGCAACAAATACCGGAAGGAATGCAAGCCTTAGTAAAAGAAAGGGGAAAAAGCACCCCCTTCATTCAGCCCTTTCCCAGATTTCTACTCAGTCTCAGGTGACAGCAGAACAAGCTGGCGACTCCACACCTTTGAAATGCTTGCACAAAGTGCTCTACTTTAGTTTTGTTTCATATCACCCCAACTAATAAAAAAATGGAGTTTGTAGACATTCTACCACTGTGGGGTTATTTCTTCTGAAAATCCTTGAGTTCCTAGGTTCATTGGGAGAGAAAACGCTGCGACAAGAACATGATTTCTAGTTTTTAATTCAAGATCTCACTTGAATTTTGTTGAAAGCCATTGTTTATGTGTATTCAATTGTAGAAACTCCATTCTCCCAGTGGTATTTCATCTATAATGGTTTGATTGGAGTGGTCTCCGATGGGTGCACTGCTCGCATTTTTAGACCCTAGTAAGATTCAGGAATAAGATGCCTTTTTGCTACCCACAAACCATGAGAATATTTTTCCTTGGTCAGTGGTCACCTCTCATTTTTAACACAGTTACTCTTCCTGTTACTCTGGATCTGTTTTAAGTTAATTTCCACCGAGGGACATACAACATTAGCCATGAGCCTTCTTGACTGGAGCAAATGACTTAGCAAAAGAGAAAAACATGACATGCTATTAATGTTATGCAGAAACACCACGTTGCATTAAGTCATCTGTGCTCTTGGCAAACATAAAACAACCCAGTTCAACTATACTAGCTATCACCGAATGCAACAGTTGCCACAACACAATGAGCAAACATTAGTCATTATAAGTAACCAAGATCAGCAACCTGTATCTCTAAAAACACTAACTCAATTAATTACTCGTTATCGTGCCAGGAGAAATAGCCTAGCAGCTAATGTCCTTGCCTTGCACATGCCAGGATCCATATGGGTGCCGGTCCTAATTCCAGCAGACCCACTTTCCATCCAGCGAACAGAAGATCTTTCTCTCTGTCTCTCCTCCTCTCTGTATATCTGACTGTTCAATAAAATAAAAAAAATCTTAAAAAAATACTCATTATCATAAATGTTTCCTGAACAATGCTCAAAATTCTTGTTCAATTTGTATTTTAGTCAATGCTATGTTTTTTGCATTTATTCCTTTCAGTGATGTCTTTAAAACAGCCATAAAACACAAATAACTCAAACACACAGAATCAATCTGAGCTCTCCATTTGTAAACCCACATGTAAAACATGGGGCTGGTACAACAGGGAAACTCAGATACCTTCGATTTGTTCAGGATATGATTTGCCAAACTACATGATAACTTCATTTGTTCATTTATTCTAGAAATTTGTTCTGCATTTCTTCTACAAATAGACTAAAAATTCAGCGAGTCAAGTAAAAATTGCGCTCTTAAATCTGCTCATAGGAAATACATAAAAGTCGTTTACCTTATCTAAAAAACTATATTTAAAAAATGTCTGCAATGTTAATGTTACCGTGCTGGAGTTACAGAGATGATGAACTGTCATGGCCAAAGATGAAGTGCACTGGCCTTTAATATGGAAGTAACAGATGATCTGCCTTGCCACGAACCCCATGATAAGAATCACAAACAGAAAATCTGAAGTATTTTGAGAGGATCTGAACGTGACACTGGATGATAGGCACAATTTGATTCTCAGTTGAGTATCTTGAGGAAATAAACAAGAAGAAAATCCAGACTTTCAAGAAACAAAACAGAAGAACCAGAGTCAGACACTGCACATATTAGAAAGATGAGACAGAGAATTTAAAGCAACCGCAGTTAATGTGATTGGGAATATTAATCAATCTAGAGGGAAGACAGACTGCATCCAGAAACAAATGCAGAATTTTAGTTCATTCTATACAATGGAAACTCTACATAAAAATGTGGTTAAAGAGAACATGGATATTTTCAACCAGCTCCTCAGCAGACTTGATGCAACAGAAGAAAAAAAAATCAATGAACTTCAAGTTAACAGAAATTACCCAAGCAGATATAGAGAAAGGTAGGTGTGTGTGTGTGTGCGTGTGTGTGTTGTGTGATCTTGCCTGAAAGCTCAATGTACAACTCAACAATGAAAAGACAAAGAACCTGGTTGTAATACTGGGAAAAGACCCGCTTATACAGTTGTCCCAGTCTGCTCTGTGCCGCTATAACAGCATCTTGGGCTGGGAATTCATCTCTCACGCTCCTGGATACAAAGAAGTCAGACAGGAAGGTTTGGTGTCTGGGGCCACGTTGCCTCTCTTTCCAAAATGGTGCCTTGGAAGTCACATCCTCCAGAAAGAAGAGATACTGCTCCTCGTGTAATAGAACTAATGGGGCCAGGAGAGGGCAAGAATGGGCAGAACGTGCCCTTGTCAAGGTTACCAATCCCATCCATGGTGTGGAGTCTTCATGATCTAAACGCTTCATGGAGGTACCAGCCCTTAATATTGTTGGAGCAGCAAGTACATTTCATCATGAATGCCGATATGGGGAAAATGTTGGGCCATAGCAACAGTTCAACAGAGAAGATACAGAATTAGCTAAAAGCACACTATAAATCAGAAATTACACTATGAGATACTGTCTGACATCCACTAGTTTAGTTGTGACTGACAGACAGATGGTAAAGAGTGTTGCTAAGGATGTAGATAGGAATCTTCATGCATTGCCGGGAGAAATACAAAAAGACAAGGTCATTCTGGAAAGCAACACGGCCATTCTTTTTTTTTTTTTTAAGATTTATTTTATTTTTATTGGAAAGTCAGATATACAGAGAGGTAAGACAGAGAAGATCTTCTGTCCATTGATTCACTCCGCAAGCAGCCACAACTGGCTAGAGCTGAGCCATTCCGGAGCCAGGAGCCCAGAACCTCTTCTAGGTCTCCCATGCGAGTATAGGGTCCCAAGCTTTGGACCATCCTCAACTGTTTTCCCAGGCCACAGGTCAGGAGCTGGATGGAAACCGGGGCTGCCAGCAATATGAACCGGTGCCCATATGAGATCCCAGCGCCAAGGCAAGGACTTTAGTTGCTAGGCTACTGCGCTGGGTCCAAACCTGACCTTTCTTAACTGATTAAACACGATCCAGCAATTCTGCTCAGGTATTTGTCCAAGAGAACGATGTGCCCATAAAATTTGTACAGGAATGTATATAGAAGATTCTTTGCAGTAGACAGTAAGTGGGAAATGTCCAGCAACTGAGGAATGAATAAACCGTAGCATGTAAATACAGAGGGTTTATTTAGAAGATGAAATGATATATTGACAGATGTCATAACGTGGATGAGCTTGAATTATTACTGCTAAGTGAAAGAAGCCAATGACAAAGAAACAAAGATGTTCTCAAATTGCAAATTTGTGACTTTGTGAAAAGTCATTGTGTTGCACACTTTGATATGTGTGCTATCCCAATAAAGCTGTTAAGAAAACATAAACAGAATGGGTTGGTCCATGGCTGTGGGAAAACATGGGGCAATTTAGCCTACATGTAACTGGGATGAGGAATAGAAGAGAGTCAGGGAGGAGGAAAGAAAATATATTTAAAGAAACACTGAGTTTACATAAAATCACAAAAGTATACAAACCACAGATCTTAGGAGCTCAGAGAACACAAAGCAGTAACAGCAACACTCAGATCTAGACAGGTTCTATCCTAACTGCTACAAAGCAAACAGGGAGAAGCCGTGCGTGAGCTCACAGACGGCCAACGAGAGGCTTCCAGCGTTTGCACCTCCCAAAACTGCACCAAGAAAAACAATGAATCCGAGAACAGCAAAGGAGCAGCAAAACTCCTGTGGTATGGAGAACCCGAGGATGGCTGAAGACAACCAACGAGACATCTTGCTTCCAGCACCTCTATTCCTCAGCCAAGGTTAATCTCAGAACCTGAGATTGGGCTTTTTCTTGAAGTAAGAAGCTCCCCGAATCCTTCACCCTCACCGTAGGCATTGAAGCTGAAGTCTGCTCTACAGGAGTTTCTGGAAGATCTCAGACTCCAAGCTAAGTTGGGACTCAGATGAGTTCACAGGGCGGTACGA